GGCCGCGCGAGGTCAGCTCCGCAACGAGCTCGTCAGCCTTGCTGAAGATGGATGCGTAGTTGATCACGACGCTGGCGCCGAGCGCGGCGAGTTGGGAGGACACCTCGCGGCCGATGCCGCGGGAGCCGCCGGTGACGAGCGCGACGCGGCCGTCGAGCGGGAGCAGTGACGACGTGTTCTCGGCGTTTGCGACTGCCATGGCTGGCTGCTTGCTGGCTTAACCCCTCGCGGCGTCACGCACTTTAGTCTTTCGTCTTGTGCTTTGTGTGTTGGCTCAGCACGAGTTTTGCTATGCTATGCTCCACACCGCGCCATGGCTGTGGATTTATAGAAGGTAAATTCGATCGTCTCTCGGGTAGAATGTGACATGGGGAGTGACAACTGACAATAGTATTAAATAGTATTTCTCTCGCTCTTATCCAGGTTACCACTAACACGTACCTTACCATAGTACCCAATTTAGATCTGCTTTCATGTTGAATACCTTAAGAGGCCGTTTGGATTCTTTTATTTGGAGAAATTGAAATCTACTTAATAATAAATTATGCTATTTGACTTAGAATTTGACATTCCACCATTTTTCAAAATTCACATATAAGCTTATCTTAAATTCGTAGGGTGAGAGATGAAAATTGATTCTATATATCATCATTCTATATTTCTACTTTGCTGCTTATAACTCGCTCTTCTATGATAAAAATGCAACACAATAAGTATCTCTCTCATATGATCAACAATAATATACAAATATAAATCATATGTAACCATATTAGCTTAATTAATATGTATCTAAATTATGATTATTAAAATGAATTCAATTTCAAGTATTCAAACGGGCCTAAGTTGCAAGTTTGTATAGTAGTATGAGAAGTTCGTAAATTCTCGGAGCGACAGTGCAAAGGAAGCAAGTCCAGGAACACGCTGCTTGGCTAGTATGAACTGTTCCTCAGAGCAGCTGTAGCAGATGTCTAGAAGTTCTCATGATCTATATTTTGCTACAAGATGTTTAATATTTCGTCTTCAGAAAACGAAGATCTGAGTTAGAAGGGTCTACAAGTTTTTTTTTTAATCAGGATCATACTTAACCCATTGATCGTACTTATAACTTATCATAGATGCATTTTGTGACTAATGGTACAGTATAGTTCATCATTAGGGGCGGAGTCAGAATTTGGACATGGGAGGGGTGATTCAAGTCGACGACAATTATACATGATATAAAGTACATAAATGGCAATGGTATAGATAACAACCAAATAAACATTTTTTCATGGTAAAAAAAGTTGAATTTACAAAGAAGAAAAAGAGAAAATTAATTACTCCTAAGTCTATAACCTCCACCCAGCCATCTTATTTTTAGACTAGAAAAAGAATCGCGGTAATAGAAAGAACAACGATGATGCGAAAGATTTGGTTTGATGATTACCGAGGTTGAATGGAAAAGAACTAACTACATTTGTCAACTAGCTAACTAGAATTATACTATAGAGAGAACAAAAGAAATGAGAAAGATAATGGAAAGAGTATCAATAGATTATATAGATGCCTTTAGAGATTATTACAAACGAATAACAAACAATTAAAACACTTGTGAGCATTATTAACTAGCTAATTTAAAACTAACTCAGTAGGAACAAACAATTAAAACACTAATTAGCTTTCTTAATTAGCTCATTAAAAAATAGAATTAACTAAGTAAAAAAACAAACAATTAAAATACTAATTAGCATTGTTAACTAGCAGTAGCTAACTAAAAAATTAAATTAAATAAGTAATCGATGGTGAGCAGGGGGCACTGCAACCTTGGGGTGACAGTCCTCCTCCCCGCGCACTGTTCATCATGTCATGTTACTGTTTTAATTAAGAGCCGAAGACTTGGATTATGAGTGGATAGCGCCGGACGTCCGGACGCTAGCCCCCGTCCGGATGCCCACGCCTGTCTCACCTGTCACACCCACCCCACATGCCTAATGAGTCTGATCGTATGCTGCATCTGCCGCCACCTGCCTCGCTTGTCCCGCATGCGGCTGCAACCGTGTGCCTGCCCGCCCGCCCCCACATGGTGCTATACGTACGCATGCAAGCCCGTGCCTGCTACTGCACGTTTCGCTATGTTCCTTGTTGGGTGCCCGTGCATGTAGGTAGGGACCACCCACACCCGTGCCCCTCGCTTCGCTTCTATGCTGCACGCCCGTGGACGTTCAAGTAGGTGGGGAGCAGATCCACATTTGCAACACCAGATCTACTTTTGTAACATATAGATGAAACACATGCAACATTTAGATGAAACATGCCACATACATCTAAAACACATGAAACATACTACGTCTGCTAATGAAAATAATTGCAACATGAAGCACTTGCTCCAACGTATGTCTGAAATAAGTGAAATATTTGAAACATACGGTTGTAACATATGTGTATAACCACTGCAACATATGCAACATCCAGATAAAATACTTGCAACATACGTTTGAAACAGATGAAACATTTAAAACATACACTTGCAACATACGTGTATAGTCATTGCAACATATAAAATATACAGATAGAACACTTGCAACGCCTGAAACAGATGAAACATATACTTGCATCGTACGTGTATAGCCAATACAACATATGCAACATACAGTGAAACACATGCAACATCTGATAAAACATACATCTAAAACGTATAAAAACATACGGAGCTCGATGCCATGGAGTGATGGAAAAATTTGGGTCAGCACTCAGCTGTCAACGGTCAACCATCACGGAAGTAGAAAACGGCGCATGCAGATGTGGGCCTACACTCCTCTCACAAGGCAAGCGGCCTAGCGGGCCCTGCAACTAGCTAATCCGGTTGGCCAAAGCAGCAACGCCATAAGTAGCATGCGGCAGTGGCAGGTTGGCCTGGGCATAGACAACACACACAGAGAAAAAATCAGGATGACAAGCAGCAGCAGGCCTAGACACTAGGCAGTAGAGGGCAGGCGCCTTGTATCCGTTGAGCAACGCCGTCTTGAATAAGCCCAAGCATTTTATCATGAAGCTGACTATTTTAACTGGCGATCCGACCAGTTTAACTGATGATCTGAGCGGTGAAAATGGATGACGACCAGTTTAACTAGCTAATAAACCAATGAAAAAGAATGCCAACCAGTTTAACTGGTTGGCAGACCTCGAACTTAACCAAGTAAGGCTTGCCAAAAAGATGTAAGAAGCTCAAGATTAAATTTTAATTTTTTTTCATCTTAGACTAAGTGTACACACTTAGGTACCGTGGATGATGTCAGATGAGTAACATTGATGGCTTAGTCACCTAAGAGAAACAGAGGCAGATGATAATTTTCTGTGACAAGCCTTTAGCACTTTAATTAACAAAACCAGTACATGCATCGCAAGGTGCAGTGTACACTGTAGTCCCTGAGTCTGACAGTAGGTGAATAATTCACGTTGTGCCAGGGTCAAAAAAAATAGAAAAAATCCAGTCCCTAGCTTAGTTGAAAGCAATGAATAATTCACGCTGTGCCAGGGTTAAAAATAGAAAAAAACCAGTCCCCCGCCTGGCTGTAACTACATGCCACCTTCTTTTTCGTCGGTCCGTCCGTTAGTCTGAACGCCTTGAACCAAGTGTTATCGAAATCGATTTGGTTTGATGAATACTATGCCTCTCGTGATTTGTGAAAGTTGAAATATTTCCATTTTATTTGTTGGTTCTTATGGAATATTTCTTCGTTTACCTAAATTGTCTGCAAGTCGGTACGAGAAAATAGATAGGCGTACACAAACTCTATCCGTATGAGCACCTTCGAATGATTGGGCCGACAGATCTACCCCTATGAGCACCTTAAAAAGACTGAGCCGACAGATCTCGAGATTCAATAAGTCACCACATGTACCTCGCTGTTGCCTACCACTAAAAGTATAACGCCGTTAAATTCTAAAATAAATTCAGAAAAACACGAGTATCTATGCCAAGTCGATGACTTAAACTCGAGTGGACACCCAACTAACTGACGTATGATCTGTTTGCTTGAGAATAATTATGTACACATGACTTGGACAGGGAAATATTGCACGCTTTAGAAAATTGGTCTGTAGTCCACTAGTCCACTGTCATACGGCCATGGGTCGATCCATAGTTCATATGATCCATCGGAGCATACGGCCCAAGCAGATAAGCAAAATTGGATTGTTCCGTGACTCCTCTCCCTGATTCACGCATGGATGGATCGGCTCCCCTTGGCTCCGCGGGTCTCTGGGGCAACCACGCCCACGCTCAGCATCTCGAGCAACATCCGCTGCTAGACCCTATCTCTAACTTAGGGCGTCACCAGCGGCGTTACTAAGGGGGTGTTTGGGACTGCTCCACAAACTCTGCTCCACAAACTCTACCGTGGAGCAGCTCCACAAAAAACTGGAGTTTGTGGAGTACCTCTTTAGGTGCTCTCACAACTTCACCATTTTTCCTGGAGCAGAGTGCGTGGAGCTGAAACCGTTTGGCTAAAAAACGTGGAGCGGAGCTGAAAAACGTGGAGCGGAGCAGTCCCAAACACGCCCTAAATCGCTAGTCTATTTGAAGATTAGAAACCATAAAAAAAAAGGAGAATAGCAGAGATGGCGGATAGAGTTGTGAGAGAGAACTTTCTTGGAGAAAGTGCGAGACAGGCGAGGATGGAAGCGTTAGCTTGCAGGATGTTCGATCGGGGCTAAAACGATCGTATATACGATCGTATACGATCATGGATTATTACTGTTGGCTCGTTTGGTATGAGAGAAAAATATTATTTTGACTGGAAATTTATAATCGTTTGCGACCCAGTGAACATGCCGTTGCTTGTGCCAGTCCTTCGCAGCCAATAGATTTCAACCAAAGCCGGCGATTTCATCACTGTTGGGGACGCCCTTACGCAGTGGAGGAAAAAATCAGCTTTAGCAGACGCTAACTAGACCTTCCAGATTTATTGGCCTTCTGTTTTTCTACTCCTATTATCTATTTTTGTTGGCCCCCTACTGGACTACCCAGACTCTTTTTCCGTCTTCTTCACACGAGTACGGGAGACCCCGGCGCATCCCTTCCGCCCCGCCGCCTTCCCATCCTCGGTGCTCCATGGCTGGCGTGGCGACCTTCCCGATGCCGGCGGCCTTGCCCCGACGCTCCCTGGTCGGTGCGGCAACTTTACTAACCTTGACGACCCTGCTCCAGCATTCCCTGCCCCGGTACGGGCGTGGATCCCCAACGCGGGTGCAGTGGCCCTCCCCGGCGTGACTCCCCATGTGGACGCGGCTTCTGGGTGCGGGCGTTGCTCCTGGCGACGCCCCTCCCCGGCAACATGCCGTTTGCTCCTAGCGGTGCCCCTATCCGGTGCGGACGCTGCTGATGGCCATGCGCCGCTGCGGCTTCTCGATGCGGGCGTTGCTCCCCGGCGGCAAGCGTCCCCGGCGCGGACTCTGTTCATGGCCGAGTTCGTCAATGGCGACAAGGAAGGAAGATGATGATAAAATCAGCTTTTTATCTGGCACAAACACCCCTACTTTGAACTGCTTTTGGGGTAAAAAATTAGATACATACCGGTTGGTTTTTTTTTATTTTTATTTCATCGTCTCCTGTCCGCAAACATTCGCGAGCGAGTTGGACGGGTTCGCACGCCGCCGCCCTCCACCCGAGCGGAGCTTCCTCCGGCAAGCACCTCTCCAGGCGGCGAGTGCGAGGCGCCCCCTCCACCCCAGGCCGCCGCCGCCCTCCACCCCAGGCACGCCGCTCCCAGTGGCCACGAGGTCGGACTCCTCGCCGGAGCGCCGCCGCGGGCGGGCGCGGCCTCCACGCCGGAGAACTGCTGTGGGCGAACGGGATCTCGGGAGCGCCGGCTCCCTCCCCTGCATCTCCAGGCCGCGGCGGCGTCGGGCTACTCCATCCCAGCAGCGTCGTGCACCTTCCGGCCTGACGCGGCCGCCTTCGCCCCTCCAACAGGTTCGCTCGCTCCTCGCCGCCGATATCGTCCCAGCCGGCAGGCGCGGCGCGGCCAGCCCCGACGAGCGTGGCGCGGCCTGCCCCTGCGAGAGCGGAGCGGCCAGCCTCGGCCGGCGGGAGCGACCTGCCCCTGTGGGAGCGGAGCGGCCAGCCCTGGCCCGCGGGAACGACCTCCCCTGACCGGCGCGGCGCGGCCAGCCCCCGACGGCGGGCGCGGCCTGCCCCGGCGAGAGCGGCGCGGCCAGCCCCGTCCGGCGGGCGCGACCTGGCCGGTGAGCCCCATCCCCGACGTAGCTAGATCTAGCGAGAGGAGGAAGAAGACCCTCCTGTGAATGACATGTGGGGCCGTTCGCAAGTGAGATAAGCTTTTCCAAAAGCCACGGGTGTGCAATCAGAGGGCTTTTAACTATTCCACAGCAGCTTTTGCAGAAGTCATAGCTCACAGCAGCTTTTGCAAAAGTCACAGCTCAACCAAACGTGACCTTAATTGCTGTAGCACGAATGAGAGAGGTGTACGTATAGTGATATGTGGTTGTGGGCCCTTCGATGATGTGGCTTCATAAAATCGCAAAGAAATCAGCCAGTGGATCTCTTATTTAGGTATAGTAGATATAGATGCTATGAAAATCGACATCATTTAGATGTACACATTAGCAAGCCCGAGGTAACCCCCTTTAAATTACCATCTATAAATGCATATACGGTCGAACAATAAGTAGAGCCGTGGGTAAGATAGACTTACGAGTTACAACTTAATTAGGCTAAGGTTTATCATTTAATGTGCTGGTTTTCAAACAGCTAATAGCGGGCTAAATCAGGCTATAGTAGCTCACAATAGCTAAATGTATGTATGAATAAAAACTAGACCCTTCTCAAACACTTATATCTAGAGATATATAGCAACAGCTATAGTGGGGGATTTAAAACCCTACATAGGAACGGTTCATGAGAGCTCTCTCTGGCTCTGCCCTCCTACAACTTTGTTGTACAGATACTCTTCATGCCACAAAGACATGGCTTTCTCTCTCATCTAAATGAATCTGGGGTTGTTTGGCAGATCCAACACTGGCATCATTGTAGCACAGAGCCAATGGAGCTAGAAACCGTGGCTCAACGGCTCATCCTCTACCTAGTTCATTTTCACCTAGCAAACCAAACAACTTCATGATACAGTGTCAAAACAGTGTTGCTGCATCGTTTTCTAGGAAGGCCTCAGAGTTGATGAAGCTATTTTCTTAGGCTTCACCTGCTTTAGCTCTCGTAGCACTGTAGCAACAGCAACTGAGCTCTTTCAGACGAGCCATTAGCCATCAGCAAAGCTGTGCACTGCAGCTGATGTGATTCTCCCTGACTATATGTATGCAAGTAATTAGGATGGTCAATTATACATGTCACTGCAGCTCAACTGATTCTCTGATTACAAATATACAATAATCGATCAATTGATTTACATGTCCAAGAGAGTTGACCTTGGATCATTTATGTCACTGCAAGAATTAATTAGGATGCCTCGCTGCTTTCGGTGAGTTCATTTCCTATATTTCTGCCTGTCTTTACAAGTTGAGAAATCGAGAAGACTTCAATGTACACTCAATGTTCTACAATATACCTGTCGGACTTCTCTGTGTAATTAGTAAGTTACTCCTATATCAGTTGAAAAAAAAGTCAAGAGAGTATACTCACAGTATGATAGCAACACAAAACTAATTGCAGGTCATTTTGATTGTCCAAAACGTCAGCTAAATATTTACTGGTGGTACTATGATGATACATTGATACTTGCTCAAGAGTGTCTGGTTGTTTTGATAACTTAAATTGTTCACAACCATGCCTTATAATTGACATCATATATCTATATGGATATTTTGGTAGAAATTAAAATGATTAGAGAAAGTGTGCAAAGATATCCGTGCGACCGTGCCAATACCTACCACTACGTACACAAAACGCAACCTGAGATTCATGTCCAGTGTCTAACCCCCATGCATGCGTAAGTGGAGACGTCACCAGCTGACCAGATAGCCACCTCTTATGCATGCGCGTTAGTGCGTTACACTACATGGAGAGGTCATTGTAAGCAAAATAATTTGCAGTCCTTTGTTGTCACGCACTCTTCCTTGCTAATGATGACGGATCAGTTTTAGCACATCAATTCAAGATTCCACAGAACGGTCCTGGAAACAATATAAGGGATACATGGCCCGGGATGACATGAGAACATTGAACATATTGATCGAGTCATTATGACCACACAATCTTCAGATCTGATCTGTTGAACTTACATTGCTAGGTCATGGCTAGGGTTGCTGGAAACCATTATTAGTTCCTCTCTAGAAGTACAAAAAAGGGGCACAAACAAAACTAAAAAAAAAATCAATGCAAAGCAAATGAAGGTGAAATAGCATCTTGTGGCCTCCAGCTTGGAAACTTATAGGAAACTTCAAGGCTGTCCCTCGCCGAATCCAGATCCATTGCCTTTACCACCACCGGTCCCACCATCGCGACCACCGCCCATGCCACCACCATTGCCAGAAGCATCTGCACTTGCATACGGCGGTGTGGCCGATGGCGGGTCGCCGGAACTAGCCTCACTAGAGCCGGATCCCGTGCCACCGCCGGTGCCGTACCCACCAGAGCCTTTGTTGTCCGAACCTTGTCCGCCGCCGCCGCCACCACCAATGCCCCCAGCAAGAGTAGACCCACCATTACCGTATGATGATCCTGAGCTAAACAGGCTGGAACTGGATCCCGTGCCAGACCCACCACCAAACGCAGAACCACCATATTTTGAATAGCCACCGCCTTCACCTCCGCCTCCAGCACTTACATAGACTCCACCCGGACCACTCTCACCGGACCCCGAACCAAGCCCGACCCCTGAGCCTGCACCGTTCTGATCCGCCCCACCATATCCCCCTCCTTGTCCCGTCCCTTGAGAACTGGAGTATCTAGCCACCCTAATGGCGTCGCTTAATCCAATGCTCAAGAGAAGAAAGAGGCTAAGTGCTACAAGATTGTTGGTCCTAGCCATTGCGACTTGCGCAGCTTAGCAAAGTCTGACAAGCTAGCGATAAATGGTTACCCAAGGACTGCATGCATATTTATAGCATTATGGAAGATGTTGATGACGATCTGACTTCCAAACCCAATGCAAAAGATCTAGTTGGTGCTGTTTTCTTATTTAATTAAGTGCATCGAACTATGATGACTGCATCAGAGGCGCTGACTTTGGATCAAAATTAGGAGAACTCCAATAATTAAAGTAGTAAATGAACCATCAAAGTTCTCGCTTAGGATGTATCCTGTCAGGTCATGAAACATCATTGAGTTGCCCTAGTCTGGTCAGTAAACCTGTGGTGCCACCTATGGTCATATGATCAAGAGACGAATAACAACGTATGGTTAATTAGAAAAATATTAGGTAAAAAAGGAGTATTAAAGGATGACAAAAGTAAAAGATACATTGGTTTTGTTAGATTGGATCCCTAGCTCCCAATGGCCGTGGCCATTCATGTTTATGAGAGAATTACCTATATAGCTCTAGAAGATAGTCTTATGCCCTTTGTGCCGTCGAATGTTAGACCATGTCTTATATGATGTCTTTTGTATTTTTTATTAATATAAATAGGCTCATACCTTACAATAGAACATATAGTCTGTATCATACCGTATGGTAAAGAACATATAGTATGACTTGTACGTTCCAATACGTTTTGGAATCTGCCTCTTTACCATGGCTATATGTGCACTATTCTAACGCGTGTGAGCGTGAGTCATGACTCATGAGTTCAGGCCACGGATGGGACAATAAATCAATTAGAATTCTAATAACTAATCCATCTCGTACTACTACTCTTAGTAAAACCTGCTAAGATTCTTGTGTTCTAGAGAGTGGACCGACACACAAATTAAACAGGTAGAGAGGGTATGATGGACTAAAATTTGGAGGAAGAAATTTTCGCTCTTTAATATTGTATTATATTACAAGCAAACTTGTCTATGTGCATTGCAACGGAAGAAAATCACTATCAAACGTTAATGGGAAACAACGATGGGAATGATATAGGAAATTTTAAATTTTAAATTTATTTTATGACGACTATGACATCAATAATACAAATTAATATTGGCAATACTATGACAGTGTCCTATTATAAGCCTGTATCAAATTAAAAACAATTTTGACATATTTTTTTCTCATGTTCAAAAAGAACAGAAATATTTAGTCATAAATATATGAACTTTAATATCATACTATTCATATGTTGCTAAAGTTAAAAAGAGCTCCATGACTTTCTTGGAGGATCCATAAAAATATATAATTCTAATATCTGATTAAAGTCGGTAAGAGGTTAGTTATCAACATGACAAGAATTGATCTTTCTGTCGATAATTATGATGGGAGATCTCTCTTGATTTTCTACATGGCAGCCCTTGTCGAGGATTAAGAGACATTTATTTATACTAAACTGCTTAAAATTTCAGTTCACGTCTGATTAGTTGGAGCAATAAAGCACAGTCCAACATTTAGTGCCCACGAAAGCATTATCTTCCTGTGATATATGAATAATTCTCTCTATATTTATTTATAGGGCTGGGAGGTCATACCCTGATCGATAGGAATCAAAACTCATACAATAATTTTTGTGTCAAAATCCAACTCCTAACTTGGTTTCCACAGGCATGGATCTTTAGAAATACAATGATGGAATCAATTTTACAATTTGACAAAGTTAACTTGCCGGTTTAGGAAAACCAACTAGGCCGGTTTGACCAAATTCCCTGGTGTTTCACAATTTTTGTTGTCAACCTATGCCAATCCTTTTTTTTATAAAACTTGCATACTAAAAAAATATTTTTAACTAAAATTGACTTATCATGCTGACTACGTCGAGTGCATTAGCTGTTTCTTCATTTCCTAGGGCAATAGGACTTCATCGGGCATAAAACTCAATTCTTGCTCAAGATGACGAATTCCCACTTCCTTACCACCACTCATACCTTTTGATCTTTGCTAGAAACCTCGAGCAAAATGATGTCTTCAACGCCTTACATCAGATAACTATAGTGCACAAAGCGATCAAACTACCACCGATGACCGCAATTAATCCTTGCATTGGCTCCAAACTCGAGCATAATGTAGCCAACAAAACAACTCAAAATATCATCTATATGTTACTATGATCATGGTCTGAACCGAACAAGGCCAATCTATTGCAAATAGCAAGAATATTAATGATCATCCATAATTCTTTGCCTTGCTCTTCCAAATTACTATCTTTGGCCTTGATAAGATTCAAAGGCACAATGGCCAAATTAGCATCATGTTCAGATAAAACAAAATTTCCCAAAAACCATGGCTTGATAACAGGATGTATTAAACTGGCAAGTGGCAAATTACTATTGCTAAATTGAATTCAAGCATATCAAAAGAAAATGTTCAATGGTATGTCGATATAAATCATCGCTGACCAAAATATACTTCAATGCCAATCGCCGAATACTACAGCTGAGTTAGCATGTATAGCAAGAATATTAGCTATGTTGATATTAGAATCCGGACAAGCCAATTTAGAAATTTTGGTCAAGCCAATTTCTAAATCTAGCCAAGCTCGTATCAATGTTTCAGATGGTGAATACCGCACAAACCTGCTAGGCTAGTTTTTCTTGTAAAAGCCCATGTTAACATCCTTTTTCATCAGCTTCTCGATAATGTGAATATGTTGCCCCTCGATATGGTAGCCTGATTGGCTTCTCAATAATGTAAATATGTTGGCCCTAGACATGGTAGCCTAATGCTTGTTGTGCCAACATGATATTTCTACATTTTTCGTGCATAAGGATGCGATAATTAAAAAATTAGTCATAGTATAAGATGATGTCAAGCACTCATCGAGATAACAGTTAGTGGCCCATCTAAACGTTGAAAATTTATGACACTCGCTGAAGCACCAACAATGAATTATAAAAAACAACAATATGTTTCGCATTCATGGATTCTAAAATCTTTAGCCCAAATAGAAAAACATCATATTCGGCATGATCATTGGTTTAAAAGCATTCTAATAGAAAATAAGTATGAAAATAGCTCCATTATGATAAACAAAATCAGTAGTAATACTTTGATCATATTTGCATGCTGATTCATCAAGTTACCATCTTCATAGTGTGCATTGCTTAATCTACATATATCATGCCCCTCGAGCTTTCAAGCTATCAACATAATATTATCTATATTGGGGTTTGTTATCATAGCACGATGAATACAAACATTCATCAACCATATATTTTGCTAAGGGTATTAACAAAGTACCAGCCATATTAATCCATCCACAAGAGCATGTGTAACCAACATAAATGTTGAGGCATAATATGAATGCAAGAACATAATTATCTCTAGCCATCAATTACTTCAGCTTTTGAAATTAATTTTAGTTTATCAATAGGCAAAATAATTTGACAACCACTACTACCGTCAGGATTTGTAGGGGCGGCTGGTAAGGGTTTGTATGGGTGGTGTCCCCAGCTGCCCCTAAGCAACCGTGTCTACAAATCATTGATTTATAGTGGTGGTTCCCAAGCCGTCCTTGCAAATCGATTTGTAGGGGCGGCTGGTGTTACGAGCCGCTGCTACAAAAGGATTCGCAGGGGCAGCTGATAACACTTGTCGCCTCTACAATTTAGATTTGCAGAGGCGGCTATGACACCAACCACCCCTATAGTTTCCATTTGTAGGGGCGGTCAAATATAGAACCGCCCCTATAGTACCTTTTCCCGTAAAAAAATTAAAATTTGAAAATTCAAATCTGATCAGAACATATATACATATATGACTCACAAGGCCATTATATCAACAACTAATTCACAAGAAGATATATACATATACATATATAATTCACAAGAACATTATATCCAATAAGACTACAAGTCCAAATCATAAGAACAAATATAATTCATCATTACATTCACATAATCTATAAGTCGGACTATTCCACAAGTCCGATAACATTACCAATGTCACATTCCATTCACAAGTCCAATCAACGGCCTAAGCCTAGCCTTTCCCACTCACGAAGATGTTGGTACCGAGGACTCCTACCTAATTCGGTCACTCGGTCATGGTAAATGCCTCTAACGTGTACAATCTGGTCCATTATGAAATTGCAAAGGTCGTCGACGAGCTCCAAGAGGTTGTCATCTTTGTGTGGATCATTTCTCACACCTTTCTCATCTTGCCACTACAAGAAAACAAGTTTAGGCATATCTAAAAACAGAGGGCATATCTAAACATAGTGGGCATATATGAAAACAACGAGTATATATGAAAACAGCGAGCATATATAAAAATAGTGAGCATATATAAAAACAATAAGCATATCTAAACACAGTGAGCATATAAAGAGGTTGAAGAGGTTCAAACTTACCCTACATGTGTGTCTCCTGTAGGTAGTGGTGTTACTCATCATACTGCATATGTCTACCGAAAGAGTTGGACAATTTCATCATTGGTAAAAGAGAGAGAGGAGAGGAGAGGAGAGTTGGAAAAAAAAATAGCTGCCGCTTTCCAAACATAGAGGAGAGGAAAAGGTGGCAAAAAAAGCAGCTGCTGCTTCCCAAATATAAAGGATAGAAAAGGTGGCCAAGAAAAGCATATATATGCTCACTGTGTTTATATATGCTCACTGTTTTTATATATGCAGGCAGTAGCTGCTGCCATATATATCACAAAACGAGTAGTAATAGTAGTAGTGGTGGTAGAGGCCTTAGAAACATGTCAATCATCATTTGATCATGAACTTGGAGTATCAAGGCATCATAAACACAGTGAGCATATATAAAAACAGTGAGCATATAGAAAAAGACAGTAGGGGCGGCTAGTAATGATGCCAAGTTCCTCACAAGTTCATGATCATTAGCTCATATTCTAGATTTTTTCTGGAGTTGGACAATTTCATCATAGGCAAAAGAGAGAAGAGTGGAGTAGAAGTAGCAGAAGTAGTAGTATAGAAGAGAGAAGAGAGCACTACAAGA